CTGACTAAAACACGTTGCCGATTGTCGGCCGGCCACGCATACATTCGATTTTCTACGTGTGCGTGCCGCGGAAATAAGAAAGTTTGGGTGGGGAGAGACCTACCTTAGAGGCTTGTGTGGTCAAAAGCAATATACCAATATATGGCAGATCAGACAATCAACAGGAAAGTAATGGGCAGGACCACAGGCCGGTGCAGGAGGCCTCACCCAACCCAATCCAATACTTACATTGAATGATCTAGGTAAGGGACAAGAATACAACAGTATTCACGGAAAACATTTGTTGCGAACAGGCAGCTAGGGTAAAGCAGCAAGCTGCTGGCCCCATCTATCCTCCTGGTCAGATCAGCTGACACCATGACGACCAGCGCATTAATGTGTTGCGTAGGGTATGGTCGCCCTCAGCGTGCGTGTGTGTGTGTAGGTTTCGTCTGCTGATCTGTGGCCGCTGAATGAAGAAGAGGGAAGAGGGCACCAGTCTACTGCTGCTGTAAAAAGAGTTTTTTCTCTGTTTTTTGCCGGCGCTCCTCACTCGAAAAAAAAAATCAGCAGCAAGCAGCAGCCAAAATCAGCAGCAATCAGCAGCCATAACTCTGTATCCACAGCCCGCCTTGATATAGATACGGAATAACGCCTGCCAGGCAGCGTGGCAGGGTTTCGCCCGTCCGCGTTTGGTATAGGGTTGATTGGGAGTTTGGTTTGTCGTGAGTAAAAAGTGGAATGAAAAGAGAAGATCTGGCGAGGAGGCATGCCACATTTTTGGAAATTTGTTTGCCGGCAACTTTTGGTATTTTATTGATGTATGCATGTCATCATGGACCAGAGACCTCACGCTAGCAGACCTGTGCCCCCCTCTTTTTTTGTTGGCTGTGCCACGGTGCGTAGACGGGGGACGTGGGCTGCCTGTGCAAGGTCCAAAAACTAGTGTTATATTATTAATCATCTAGGGCGTCCTTGATATCTACCTCGGCCTCTTTTTTCAATGTTTCGTCGATTACACGGTATGATGTTCCCTGCTCGCCCAACACCGTGCACCCGACGAGGAGACAAAGCGACCCATCCACTACATAGCAGATACGATTATGTGTTCAGGTAACATAGGCATCGTAGTAGATGACGGCAGGACATGCCCTGAGTAAGGAACAATTCTATTATAGTAAATCACCATATGAAAAATATCATATCTGGCCTTTTACCCTTTCTTTACCGTTTCTCTCTCTCTCACCTAACCTTGCGGACGGTCTCTTTCCGGCCCTCTCTGCGGCTGTCTCTCTCTCACCACTGTTGTTGCTCTCTCTCTCTCTCTGTTTCCTCTCTCTGTCTCTCACTCGGACTCGGTACATGTAGCCTTGTCGGACAGCATAATAGGGAGCTCGAGGCCACATTCGAATATGGCGTCCCGCGGCGAAGCGTTTCCTGAGGCGAACATGGCATTGGCCGTGGCCGTGGACAGCGCGGACCAGAGTAGGTTCGCACTCCCGAACATCGGTATCCGGCAATCTCGAGGTGCGAATTTGCGCTCATCTTTTAGGAAAGCACTTGATTGATGTATGCATATCAAATTTTGTAGCGGTGCTTGCATGTCTCGTCGTCGTTATCTCCCAACCTCCAAAGACTGCAGACTGACAACACGTACAATTCGATTCGTTAAGCATCCGCACACGGAGTACATAGCACCGTCCCTGTAAACACGTGATCATATCCTAGGCTTCGTGTGGATAAATATGTGCACGATATTTGCAGGTTGACGTTACGGATTGATTGGTCGACTATAATCAACTGATGATGATGTTGCCGTAGCCGATGAGTATGAAAAAACATCTCGTTCCTGACGATATCTCGTTGCGATTTGCCATGACACTGCATGATGCTGCCGGCAGATTTCTTGGATTTGCTGCTATGCTTGCAGCTACATGTCGGGCCTGGCGGCGGGCTATTTATAACATGGACGGCATCCACCTAAAAGGTATTTTGTAAGGGGCTGCGTTGTAGTCGATTTATTTGGTTAGTATTTTTTTACAATACATACAACATGAGCCAACAGTCAGTTGAGGTGGTGTGTAGCTGAGCAACTCTCTTCTGTTCATCACCATGGTCCAACAACGGTAGGTTTAGTTGTTGGTGTAAAGCAGAGCAAATAGCTTCTGTTCAAGTACACCAAACGCTTTAACTTACCCAAGAAGACTATGTAGTAGCAAGATGCACGTCGTCTGGATGGGCCCCTCTCTGTATGGTATCTGTCTAGGGCTCTCACAGTGCCTCTCTTAGAACGATAAATCCAGACTACCTGGGCACACGTTGTTTGCGTCTCAACGCCTTGCGTATCTACCTCTCGTCGGTCAATTGGTCGTGTGGGGTAGTGTTATTATCCCACGCGCCCTCATCTATCCGTCCCTCTAAACAGAACAATATCTGGACGAAGGGTTTCCTTTGTTCGTGTGTACACGAGCGTGATGTTTTTCCGGGGTAATAGGTGCAGTTAAGTAATGTGAGGTAGGTCCCTGGTCGCTGGTCTCACCGAACAAAATCGTAGTATTGTTCAGGGGAGTTATGTTGGCGACATCGGGTGAATCACTGTTTCGTCCCCCCCACTTCCCAACAAGCCTGTTTCCCGATGGCCCACCCGCCGCCGCTAAACAGCAAGCCCGGCATATTGTAGATTTGTGGACTACAACCTTTATTTCTCCAACACCGTGCACGCCATCTCGCCCATGTTCATTTTTTGCATGTGCATTTTTTCTGGCCAGGTTCTTCGCCGAGGGTGCTGCGCTCGCCAGGAAGGAAACAAAGTAGCAGTATGGGGTATGTTTGGCTCACCCAAGTCTGTGGAGAGTATTTACTGTAGACGGGGTTCCCGGGACGCATAAAGTTGGTAGTAGCCGGTTGTATATTGGCGTGGGATATATACTGAGGATTGTAAGAAGATGCATATGTCTATTCTCGGGAAAAAGTGCGGAGCCGTGCACGAAGTAGTTTGTAATAAACTGCACGGTTCTCGTGCGTCACACGCGGCCACACGATCGCACTCGGTGTGGACCATATCGTAAGTGGTTTGTTGTGTGGGGTGCAGGGCTCGTAGTGTTTTCGGAGTCGGGTGTTGGGTAAGGTGTTAACTTCAATTTAGTATTTTTGGGGAACTCCGGAGCTGGCAGTGTAATGCATGCACGTTGGAGCGAGCTCGATCGGACAAGAAAAATGGCAGGGAGGAGGGCGGGGGTGTGGATAGAGGAGGGTGAGATGGTCCCTCCTTCTAGCGCGCGAGTAAAAACTTTGCATCGCTGAATAACAACGTGCCTGGCGCCATGATTTGAACGTGTGTGTGTCCGTGACATGGGGGACCCGGGGTGGCCGTTACTAGCTGAATCCCCCGCCACACCCTTTCTGCCAGGGGGACAACCCGCGTAGACATACTCTGACAGTCAAGTAGAAGCTTCAATAATTCGAGACATCCATCTCGCATTAATTTTTATTGCTTCGGGCTACGACATCCCGAAGCAATTACAACTAGGTTAAAATTAGAGTTGTTCTGTGCAACAAGCCTAGCCTCTTAAGCGACCCCGCAAAGACCCCGCTGGGCCTTCCATAATCCCCTGTTGTGGTATGTATGCACGCTCCCTGAAGTCTGGTTGACCCGTGAAGAAGGACTCACTTGTTATTATCATGTTGTAGGATAACAGCAGCAGTAGCTGTGGCCTTGGGTTTTGAGAGAACCGAGGCTATGTGGCTCCGATTGAGCTGCGTCTAGAGGGGACAGCCCTCTTTTATCCTTCCGCATAGATTTACAATCCCGCAGACGGGGAATCAATAATGTTTCCCCGAGAATGGATCTCTCAATTCCTCCTACACTTCTAATCCTATGACAGTAGCCCACCCTCGAGGTTCTCACACGCAGCAGGTAGGTCGATGCTATACACCTCGGGGCTTGAAAGACGATTATCGAGTCCCAACATCAAAAAAAGAATCAAGGATGGGGAGCTCCAATAAAACAACACAACTGACCCTCCCACACCTCTCCCTCGATGGCATCGTTTGACCTCTTCAAGAAAATAAGGCAACAAACGGAACAAAATAACGAGCAACGCAAAGGCTAAACAGGGTCAGATAAAAAAATAATAACGCGAGAAGAAAGAGAAGAACAAGCAACCGAAAGGAAAGATAGACAGAAAGATGCGTCGCCTAAACAACGAAAAAGCACATCGTCGGAACGACAAAAGAACGAGAAAGTTCGGCTAAACGGCGAAGAGCAAGGAAGAGACTTGGTCGAAAGAATCAGAAAGGTACGTCGTCGGAACGATACAAAAGGAAAGCCACAGCCTACCAAACAAATTGCAAACAATGACCATGACAGCGCGCGGAAGCTAACCTAGGCTTCAAAACACCGATAGACCGCAAACAAACAAACGCAAAAAAAGAGAAAGACCAAACGTTCCGTAAAGAAAGACAAGCGCTCACGTGCGAAAAAAAAACAAGCATTCCGTCAGGGAAGAAAGAGGAAAGAAAGATAGATAGATGTACGACATCTGATGTCGTACTTGTATCACAAAAACGAAGGCCTACAGAACCTACGGCAAAAACACAGAAAATCGAAAGCAACCAAGCATGCTTTGCCAATGAGAGCGCGCGAAGTCATCGGTCGACGAATCGTCCGCTACGCCGCTACGCGACATGTCGATGTTGCGAAGGATACATACCCTTTACACCCTTGAGTAGTGTCAACCTCCCGCGAGCTTCATTGATAACTCGCGACAGAATTATTACTTCTTTGTTTCTGCCAGATCTAACCGGATGTCAATCCACGCAGGAGGAGACGCAAGAGCACCAGGAGAAGTAGAAAGACGGATTTCGGCTGCCCCCGTGATTGAATCCCTTCTAGCGTGAAGGAAGCGCCTGTAGCAGGCGTTGGCCGTACCCTATCCTAGGACCACAGAAAAAAAAACGGCCACCACTCTGAGCAATCATGGTTTGACACACGAAACCTTTGCAAAACCGTGACGAAGGATTTAGTCAACATGCGCATGGACGTCACTTCCCACATATTCTTCTCCTCCTCCTGCGTCCGACCCTTCCGGCGACCCCTGGCCTGACAAACTACTTGGGCCAGACGTCTGGGGACAGATGACACTCACACCAGGGTCAACGCAAACGGCAACTCCCGGGTTGGATGCGGCGATTCGTCCGGTTACAACGAGCCTTACTGGCGCGTGGTATCCGGGGACGCCGTCATTGAAGGCGCCAATCAGCGTCTCGCGGTTGTCCGTCCGTTGAAGGTAGCTGGAGATCTCGTGGTGCGCGCTGCTCTTGTCCTTGCCTTGTTCGCAGCAGGCGTAATACGCTGGGCACGACTCCGCGACGCGCAGGTAGAGCGCGGCCTCCGAGTGCTTTACAATCTGGTTCTTGGGGCACATTTTCTTGAGTAGTCCGTTGTCCGCCACGCGGACGAGGCGCACGAACTGAAGGTCTGTGCTGTGGTCTTCAATGTTGAGGGAGTCGAGCGCCTGCCCGTGGGAATCGTACACGACTGGATTTCCCGAAACGGGAATGTCGTTATGGGTTGTCTGGTACGATGTCTTGTTCCTAGCGCACAAGTAGGGCAAGTCGTCGTCGGAGTTAACCTGAATCCACCCGGGGCAGGGAACGTGATCACAGGGGGGGATATTGGGGACCGGAGCACAGGGGGTTTGTGAGGAGCCACGAATGGTCTCGAACCAACACTTAGTGCTTGAACAATCACAGCAGCAGTGTCTAAAGACACAGAACGGGGGGCGCCCTTGCCTTCACCGTGTAGTAAGGGTAGAAAATATGGTGCTTCGCCGAATATCGTAGTAGTAGTACAAGTAGGTCTATTGGCTGCGAGGTCGGCCACGTCGACTGTATAAATAATAAGTTGAAAGACACCTGAAGGTGGCAGACACAGAGAGAATCTCAGGATCGTAGAAGGTACATATACATATACATACCTACCTGCTAATCACATAAAGAACAAACGCAGGTATCTCACCTTGATGACCCACCCCATTTGTTCTGCAATTGCTTGGGCAGCTCCCAGAAGAGCCCGCTCGTCAGGAGTAGCACCATCTACGCTGCCGCCTTCACGCAAGTTGTTGGTCCTGGTGTTGACGTCTGCGAGAATGCGATTAGGCGTGGTGGTCTCGGGGATGCCATCCGGTAGAGAGCCGTGTGAGATGTACGTGATCTCCGACGCGGAGCCGTCGTCCTGCATGTTGGAGGAAGGCGGTGCGACTGAGAGTTATACGGGAGGTGAACCGGAAGAACTATAATAATGGCTCTCGTCCAAATAACAAGTACAAACTTGTGGGCATCGTGCGTTCGTAAATTCAGGTAGTAGGGCGACAAGCATGCCTGACCGACGAGATTGACTTACAGTAAACAGTCCCTTCCTCCATGCGCCCTCCCATGCTTCCTCGACGCGGGTGGTGACGGCACCATGATGCTCCGACGCGACGAGAAAGGCCTCTACCTTCCTCCCCAAGTTTAGCGCACATTCGACTACGCCATCCGACTCCGCGTGCATGGACACCACTGTGTCTCCCGCCTTCGTCCAACTTCAATTCGATGGGGCATCGAAGAGAATGGCACGGAGAGGACGGGGGGGGAAGGGGGAGGTCGCAGATCACGATACATGGATGATTGGCGTAGCAATCAATTATATTCTCCTTGAAATCTTGATGCATTTGACAGCCACAGAACCTCCACGTACATCATTAACGTCAGGGATCAGCTGAGCACCTCCACCTCCCCACCGCTACTGCCCCGTCTGGCGTACCAAACATGCACGCGCTTAACTACAACACGAAGAAACGTCGAGTCCCACCCAACCTCACCGCTGTATTGCGAACTGTACGACATTGTCATGGTATCCCCGGGTAACCCCCTTGCGAGGTACGTCACCCATGAGTGGCGAAGGGATACGCCTGCCGCTGGCGGTACTCCACGTACTTCCATCGCTCGATCCTGCCGAACGTCTGCCAGTAAAGCTCTGCGGCGTTACGGTGTCGTTGCAGGTGAAGTTCATTCCACCACCGTCACCGCAGCCGTTGTGGTGAGCCACGATGTAGTGGTCGAGTGCGCCGCCGATGAACTTCTTCTTGCTTTCAGCGGTCAGCCCGCCTCCCCGGGAGCCGTATTCGACAACCAACCCGTGGTCCTCGACGACCATCCCTAGTCCGGGCTGCTGTAGGTGTTCTGATTTACCCCGGTGCACAGCAAGAAAGCGCGACCAGTTCAGGAAGTATGGGTAGAACAACAACACCTTCATCAAGAATCCGATTGAGACCATGCCCGTGCGGCCAACAACAACCCAGAATTCCTCCCGAAACCTACTACTCGTGACGTCAGACATCTTCCAACCAATCAAACACTCAATATTACTCACCCACGATGCAGCGTTGGTGCTTGTAGATGGGGACAGGCAAGGACACCAGAACTGTTCCCTCCGGGTGCAACAGTTCTTTGCAGACGTGATACAGGAGCCCTTTCATGTGCACCTGGGCTGACGGGTTTTCCTGGAGCAGATGGTCGTGGAGACCAAGGGGGACAAAGACCAGCTTCGCTAGACCGTTCTCTAGCTTCAGCACCCCGACGTCTAGGTCACCGAAGCCAGAACTCAGTGGAGTCGACTCGTGGATGCAGGTGCTCGCAATCCTGTCGAAATGCACGAATAAGGGGGAACACGAACAACGCAGCACCAGCAAATCGACGCGAATAGGACAGGAACGGGAACGTAAGTAGAAAAAAAATTAAGCACACGCTGTAAGAGGCGACAGTTGGAAGATCTGGCATACGTCGAGAACACTGAAATGTACCAGCGCGCGGAAGTCACCTGCGCGCGACCTTAACGTCATACTCTGCGCCTGGCGAAGAAGGTAGCGGGTTGACGGCGTTCTTCTTCGGAGAGCCACCCGCCTTGCCCTTTTTTTTCGCTCTCCCCTGCCCGGTGCGAGATTCCGCGCCGTCATCGTCGTCGTCGTCGTCTTGGGATTGCCGACGCTTGGAAGCCGCCTGCTTGCCGCCCGCAGCCGCCGTTGCCCGGCAGTCCTTGCAAGGGCGCGTCTTCTGCATCTCGTTTTCCGTCGGAAGAATGGTCAATGAACAGTCCCCGCAATATACAATCTTGCACTTCGGGCAGTAATACCTGTTGGGAGCCATCGACGACGGAGTACACACAGAACACACAGAGGGCGCGCCAAAACGAGGATTAATTGTAGGTCAGAACAGATCGGCCGAATTTCGCCTTGTGCTGAGGGCGCGCATGTATGTGGGGATGGTGTGGTTTACGGAATATGAGGGTGGTTTACTTAGAAGCGCCTCCTTGGTTTATCTGCATGGTGAATGAGGTTGATTGGGTCCGCATAATCACAAGTCCGAAAAAAAACGCCGCCGGTCAGGAGCGCCCTATTGCGCATTTGTCATGAAGGCCACCTACCCTGATGTTGCCGGTGGTTTGCAATGACCACACAAGACGAGGGTGTCCTTTCCCACACTGTCGTCCCTCTTCCGTCGGCGCTGTTTGCCGCGTTGCTCCTCGTCGTCGTCGTCGTCGCCCTCCCGTCGGCGTTCCTTGCCGGGTTGCTCGTCGTCGTCGTCGTCGTCGTCGTCGTCGTCGTCGTCGTCGTCGTCGTCGTCGTCGTCCCCGCCGCCTTTGTTTCCCTCCGAGCCCTTGTCACGAGGAGGAACCATCTGTAGATGGCGGAGGTTGACGTCGTTCAGCACAGCACCGTGTTTCTTGTCGTACTCCACAAGAAACTCCCTCAGGTCGGGGTCTTTGCTCAGAACCTGACACAAACAACAAGCGAAACATGCATGAAGGAGGTTATTGTCATCGACAATCAGACGAAACGAGAGTTGTGCACAAGATATGTGTCGGCACGGAAATCATACGGGGCGATCATCCGAATTGCACACCATGGACATGAAGTTCAAATCTCCCTTGTACGTTAGTGATGACGTATATAGGATTGTTTGGGAGGCTGACCAAGGCACGGGTTTACACAACCACCATTGGCATGCGAGACACAATACACAGTTCGGTCAGGGTCAGAGGGCGATCGGTATGTTTCCGTCAAATGGAGAAAGGACCCTCCCTTTCTTTGTTGCCTCGATGATTTAGCAAGGCTTCACGCGGACTACTGGACATAACAATACGTGAGAGGAACGAGTGTGATGGTGTACAACCTAGTAGTAACAGATAGACTTGCGTCCCGTTAGGTCGTTCGTGATCGAGAGGACGGGTGCTTGGGGTTTTGCAGGCACTGGTGTCCTTGCACACCTAACACACATACGGCTCATGGGGCCCACAACCTACATACATGGCAGGAAAATGTGTTCTGCCTGTTGTACGCACAGAAGAGCAGCCAATATTTCGTGTCAAGGAACTAGAGCGTAGTACTCTAGGTCTTCTGTTGGAGGCGGTCGAGGTTATAATATAACTCCTACCCATGCTTACGCCGGACGTTGACTCACTGTTCGAAGCTGCTTCCCTGGATTGGCCAGGAGCACCTCTCTCTCGGTAGCGGACAGGGCGGGAGCGTGCGCAGGAAGTTTTGATTCCAGCGCCTTGATATCCCTCTCAAGTTGCGCCAAGTGGGGCTTGAGGTAGTTGGCGTAGTGTCCGGGCTTTGCAAAAGCTAGATTGTTAACCAGCCTGCAAAAGACCAACAAGTGTAATACGCGAGCACGTCAACCAACACCGTGGATCTGTACATATACCGTATATGACACAAGATAACACACCCCCTGGACCGATTTTCAAAGCTCGATTACTCCACGACGAAGAGGATGCATAAATGAAACAATACGTTTTCGAACAGCTCTCGACGAGACGGTTCCAACGCCGCCGTTTTCGGCGCTGTGACTCTTCCTGCTGTTGAGAAATCGAGCTTTGAAAATCGGCCAAGGGGGTGTGTTATCTTGTGTCATATACGGTACACATATATATATATTATGGTGAGTACATCAGCGGTATATATATGCACGAAAAAAAGGTGCTTTAATGGAAGATTTATGAAATTGCCAAAAGTGCAGCCCGACACTATTACCCATTCTATTGTGAGGGAAACCACTGCAAAAAAAAACGAATTGTCGGCCGTCGAGTTTGGCAGTAATGTCATCAAACTATGACCGGAACCCCACCCACAACAAATTAAAACAGTCCTCCCGTTATGATACAACTCCATCCTTGTGTAACCCATGCCTCATGAACTAAAACCTATATATACGAAGGAATCACACTCACTCCTTGAGCGGTACCGTCCACAGATGCCCAGGCACGATGGTCTCGACGGCCGCGATCCAAGACGTCGACGCACTTGCTTGAGCTAAGGCGGCGGCCTTGTCTATCTTGCCGTCGTTACCTTTCGGGCACCTACCGCATACAAACGACAAAAAAAAACGAAAAAAAAGTTAGAAGCCGGAATACAATGGTCGTTGGTCTCCCCTGTACTGACAGATACACACAACGTACGGTGTCTAGCAATTTGTCTGGCCGGACAAGAAGTGTTGCTATTGTTGTGACGAAGTGATGTACACATGACTAGCTAGTGTCGTGCAGGTCACGGCAAGACGAGCGTGTCGAGGCAGGTTCATCGGGGCAGTTAACGTTGCGGGGATTGAATCGGGTGGATGTCATGGACAGCGATGACGGTGATATGCGCCGGGGTCAAATGTTTGTCATCGACAGCTGCAGTGTAAATCGTACCGGGCGAAGACCTCAATGTACATTGCTTGTTCGACGGGCTTCTCGGAGAGGCCGGTGAACTCCTTGGTCTTGAGGAAGGTCTGCGTGATGCGTTCATGACCCGCCAGCTTTTGCTCGGTTATGGCCTTCAAAGACGCCATAGCTTGAGTGCTGAAATTGGCGGAGATCAAGAGGTGGTTGCGTAGCGTCTGGGTGCTCGGCGTAACGCCTGGTACCTGCAGCGACGAACGAACATTTCATTGCAGTTGCAGTCCGTCCGGCAAGCATTGTTAAGTATTTTTATTGCACTCCACGATCGACGCAGGATCCGCATACAATTGACAAGAAAACATTACCGCGCAGGAAGGGTCTCGCCACGATGGTTACCCGACCTGAACTCATTCATTGAACGTTTACACTACTTTGGGGATCGTCGCTGCCTGTTTGTAAATCATGTAGTTGTAGTATTTATGATGCCGGCCGCGTTTGTCAGGGTCAGGTAGCCCCACCTTGGCCCAGCACGCCTTCAGTTCCTTTGCAGTGACTGTTTTCTTCATCTTGTGTCTGGGTCGTGACCTGTTCTGCTCGTCGAGAACATCCTGTATCATGGTGCCGAAGAAGAATACCTGGTCATACGTCGTGCGCTTGGCGTGCGTTTCGGAGCATTGGTTGCAGGCTGCCGCGCATCCGGCAAAAAGACAAAAAAAAAACGCAAGAAAAGGGGCGAATTTGCGCAGGGCGCGTTAACGGCACCACCAGTAAACACGCCAGGTTCGATCACATGACACAAATAAGTGGTGGCCATGAAGGGTCGCGTTAGTAGGCCCAAATGCAGGTTGAAAGCGAACGGGACGGGGTACCGTGAGGTTAGATGCAAAGTGTTGTTTCTTTGCCATTGTATGTCGTGAACAATACGCAGGGGTAGAGTAGCAAAAAGCACGAACAATAATATAAACAAACGTGAAAATGAGCGGTGAGACAACAACCAACCGCATAGAAGAACCACATGTACTGAACATCGGACAGAAGAAGGAGCAGCCGAGCACAGCAGCGACAGCAGCAGCAGCAGCAACTACCATACTACAGGTTAGACCAGCCAGTGTACGTATTTAACCCCATATCTGTGTGATCACGGGTTCGAGTAAACGGCACTAACTATTGCTATTAGCGCTGATTGAAGGTAAGACAATAAAAAAAATACAATGTACTATATATACATAGAGTAGTACTTGTATAGAGTATAAATGAACGCGTACACCTATTACTGCTATGCAAACACTGAGCGTATACTCGGAGCAGTACGTCAGCAAACAGAGAGACTACCCATTTTAGATACTTCAGCAGCAGTCTTACCGTCCGAGACTATCTTCTTCGTGTAAGGGCACGTTATGTCACGGTAGCATGCGCATTTGATGGTCTTCTTCAGGTCACCACCGTACACTTCCTTCGCCGCCAAGAGTCGGTGGTTACCGTCCAACACATAGGCAGTCGTCGTGGCGGCCATTTCCGCGGTCATAACCTGACCCTTCTCGACTTCGGGCAACGTCAACTGCGGCACAGCTGTAGGCATCCAACCCATTTCCGTTATGCTTGCCACGATCGCGGTCACAGCAGCAGGGCTACGCTGCCTACAGTGTTCCGTAAATCGTATGTTCGCCAGCGGAATTTCCCACACACCCAACTCCAGGTCTTTCAACACGGACGAGACATGTAGAACGTCAGAACTCGCCGAGGAAGAGCCCCTTCCACCACCACCACCACCACCACGCTCAGAGCCCGCCCCTTCAGCTGCTATCGCTGCTGCTGCTCCTCCTCCTTCATCGTTGTTCCCGCTCATCCTCCTCCTCCTTCCTCCTCCTCCCTCCTCCTCCTCCTCCTCGTCCTCCTTCCTGTAGCTCGCTGCTCGTCGTGTTCGAGCCCCCGCTTACTTCGTTCGTTCGTATCCAATCACGGACTCTCGTCTCACTCCCCAAGCTCCTCCTCCTCCTGTCGTTCGAGTACTTAGGCACCACGACCGTGGGCAATACGTCGACAGCAGTGTGCTTCGAACAGCGGCAGCGGAGCAGCAGCAGCAACAACAGGTACAACACCTGGCAGCACCTACGCACCAAACCCACCCACAAACCACCACCAGCAGCAGAGCAGCAGCAGCAGCAGCAGCAGCAGCAGATAAATCACACGCAGCAGAAGCACCAGGCAGCACAGGTCCAGCACACTCAAACAAACGCGGCAAAGCTCCCCCAGCACCACCGTCTGTAGCTGCGACTGATGATGATGATGATTGATGATGATGATGATGATGATGATCAAGAGATAGATATTGATCCGTACATACATACATACATATTATGTACGTACGTCAACTGTTTTTCTGCCATCTGCCCCAGCACCACAACGCGGGTCCAACCTGGGGGCTAATCACCTTCGTAGCCCGAGAGACGCCGTCCTGATTCCCTCTGGAAGCATACTGGAT